TGAGACAGCTGAGTGCTCTAGTGAAAGGATCAAAGGATAGAGGCAGGTCTTCTAGGGCAGAAAGAGTGAAGACGTGAAAGAGCCCGCATAGTAGCCCATCTGCCCCAGGCTGGACCTGGCCGACAGCTGGAGGGTGGACCCACGTGGTAGCCCTCCTGTCCTGTTGTGGTCAGGGCAGGATCAGGGCCCCTGGGGCCTCCTGCAGAGCAGCTCAGCAGGGGGGAGGGACGGCCTGGGGGGGGGGGATGTTGGGGACTGACCAAGCCTGGGGGCAATGACCCTTAAGTAGGGCCCATTATAGAAGCTGGCGATGACTTTCTTATTTTTTCCAGAGATGGTCTGATACTCTGCAGTGTGGAGGTGCCATATTGAGCCATATCTCTGTGGTCAGTGTCAGGAACATGTTTAGTTTTTTGGTACTATAATGATTTTTTAATTTTTTTTTTTATTTTCACGAGGTAGTCAATAGTATACTATTGTTGTGTTTTAATAACAAGCCTAAACATTTGATATGCCTTAAAAACGTTTTATATTAAGTTCTCAGTTTGTCCTATAGCTTTGTTTACTAGACTTGCCCTCGCCTAGATTTTTACTGAAGTTTGTTGTTGTGATGAAAAACTGTTAGCTTAACAAAAAATAGGAGGACAGGAGAATGAGTCAGTGGTGGCGCACCTACTTCAGGTTACACAAATGGCAACCTGTGCTCAAGATCATTCTTTTATAAAAAAGAGATGCATCAGGCTTTTCTAAAAGTCACGTACAGCACCCTTGAACTTGTTTTTATATTTTCTCACCTCTACATACGGAATAATTAATACCTTCCTTTGATTTTAAATTAAATGCTATATTGTACATACTATTCTGCACTTGGTCTTTTTGAGATGCATCCTCGTTCATCTTGATGAGTTTTTATCTTGAAAGCTAACGCAGATGACATTGATGTTAAGCCCCAGAGACTGACGGAATAGAGGGCACCACGGGGAAGTCAGGGCATTACTCCCGTTGAGTAAGGCCACTCATCTTGCCCTTCTGGTCTAGAATTCCCAAGTCGAAAATTGGATTCTCCTGCTGGTGCTGGGGCTTTGCTTTCAGTGTCTGCTCTGCGACCTTTTGCTCCGTTTTCAGTGAGTTCGTGGTAGTTAGTATGGTATAGGAAGTGACACAGACTGCCTGGATAGTGTGGCTGTTTTGGAAGGTCATTTTTATTTTGAACTTAAAAATCAGATGTTTTAGAAGAACCAGTACCCTCCTTTGAGCTATTGTCTGATTTAAAAGACTGCAGCGTGTGTCTTCCCAAAGTGGATGCATTTAGGTTTATTGACGTTGGGTTTGCTCATGGCATTTCAATATTTGGTAACAAGTGAGGAATGTCAGTGCAGTTTGCAGTGACCTCAAAATAGAGACCTGGTAGAGTTTTCTTTTACGTTGTGCTTTTCCAAAATCTACAAATGGACAGAAACCAATTGATCTTATTTCATCATAGACTTACAAAACTCATTTCGGTGGCTAAATGGGATTTGGGGTCTTTGTTTTTTTGTTGTTGTTTTTGTGAGACAGGATGTTGCTGCGTTGCCCGGGCTGGTCTGAACTGCTGCCCCAGCCTCCCAGTGTCGAGATTGTAAGCGTGAGCCACCGTAACCAGCTTTAGTGAGATGTAATGTTCCTTTTCTGCTTTCTTGAACTTTGCTCAGTCAGTACAAGCATTCTGTTCAAACTGATTAATTGAACCCAGGAACTGAATACATTTAGGTGAAACTTGCTACTTGAGACTCGGGACGGGGTGGATTTGAATGATGCTGTATCTCATGATGTCTGCCCTCTTGCTATCCACATTCAGGGATGGAAACGATTTGGAGAGCAAGGAACGCTTCTAGAAGTTCAGCCCAGCTCTCTGCTGTAGAATGTTCTTGTATGAGCAATCAAGCAGTCAGTAAAGCAGCCCTTCCCATTGTTGAACTGCTCTCGTTCCTAGAAAGTTCTTGTTTCTATTGACTTGAAATTGGCTTCCCTGGTTTAATTTTTCCTGCTGTTCTGAATTCTTTCACGTGTCACACAGAATATGCCTGTTCACGTAGGTCATAATCTTAGTTCTCATGGGCCTTGCACTTAGCCTTCTTCAAGCTGATGATCCCTCAGGGTTTGTCTCCTTCTGTCACCAGGCCCCCTCTTCTGAGCACCAGCCTCTGGCTCGTCCATGGGGTCTGGCCAGCACCACAGGCTCTGGGCCGGCATCGGCTGCCCCCGGGCTCTTAGCTCCTGGGAGTTGCTCTTCCATCCTTTGCCTCCCTGGGCACCCACTTTGCACCTGGTCTCAGTCCCGGCTTGGCCGGCCTGACCAGCTCTGCTGGGCCTCCTCTCCCGGCAGGATGGCCAGACGTCATGCCCTCCCACTGTGCTCCAGGCCCCACCCTGCCTCTCTGGACACTGGATCTGTAGTGTAATGCGAACAGGTCACATGAGAGTTTCCTTTGTATACCTTCTTATCTTCTGTAGACTATTGTTATTTAGTACATATGTGCATTTACATATGCTTAAAATGATTGGAAAATTTTGCCTTGTCTATGTTTGCAAGCGATGAAAACTAAAGGTGGTTGGTATTATATTGATTTATTTAATCTTGAACTCAACATTTTCAAAGCTGTATTTTTTGGGTAATGCTTGAAAATCATACAATACCTACCCATATAGTTTTTTGTTGTTGTTGTTTTTGTTTGTTTGTTTTTGATGGCGTCTGACTCTGTTACCCAGGCCGGAGTGCAGTGGTACAATCTCTACTCACTGTAACCTCTGCCTCCTGGGTTCAAGCAATTTTCAGCCTCTGCCTCTCAGGTAGCTGGGGTTACAGGCGCCCGCCACTATGCCCGGATAATTTTTGTAATTTTAGTAGAGACGGGGTTTTGCCATGTTGGCTACCCTGATAACCTTGAACAGCTGACCTCAAGTGATTCACCCGTCTCGGCCTCCGAAAGTGCTGGATTACAGGCATGAGCCACCAAACCTGGCCCGTTTTCTTTCTTTCTTTTTTTTTTTGTGACTTATTTGTTATTCTTTTTTGTTTAGTTTAACATAACGTTTCAGAATAATATGCCAAGTAATAGAGGAACATTTGTTAGGTTGGGCTAGGAATGGGGCCTGGGGTAAGGCTGACTGTAATTCTGAGAAGAGGTTCCAGTTTAACACCATTCCTTTCCTTTAAGAATTTTATCTTATTTTAATACAGAGCAAAAGCCACATAGCTTCTTACAGGAGTAAGTGAGTCCTTTGAGGACGTAGGTAACTGAGCTGTAAAAATGGAGCTCACACAGCCGAGGGACTGCAGTGGATGTTTTTTTTTCTCATCCTTCTGAAATAACTTTTTACTATTTAAAAATCATTTTTAAAGTTATGAAATATTTTGAAATATAGTAAATTGTTTTCACCTTTTCTTCTTTTACTCCTTGTCTTCAGTCTGCGTACTTTTTTTTGACGAAAGCCCACCTCTTTAGTAAGTGTGAAAGGAAGCGCGTGAGAACCTGGTGGTGTGATCCCCACTCGGGAGCCCCGTGTCCCTTCTGAGAAAGATGCCTCTTGTCGTAGAGGGGACACACAGTGGCTCTGCTCAGCTGCACCTGGGCACCGGTTTAGACGAAGGCCTGCAATCCGCAGAGGCGGACCCTGGGTGAGGAGGTGCTTCTGCAGCCTTCAGAAAATGCAGACAAATGGATTCACTTATTGGACTGCCTCGATAGAACAGTGACTTGCTCTGTGGATTCACAGAAGGTTATTTGAGGTCAATGACTGGAATGTGATTTTAGGAAATATCCTTTCCTTGAAATTCATTGGTTTTATGCTGTAATGTAGTTTGTTTGCTTTAAAATAAAGTTTGTGCTTTCAAGGAAGATTTTAGGATGTAATGGCCAAAAGTAGAAAAACAAAAATGATCATCTTCACTTGAATATGGCTGCTACTTGAGTCTAGACTTTCATTTTTATTATTCCAAAGTTAGGTATGTCAGGTCACCCAGGAGACATTATACACTAGGTGTTTTACATGTAAGTCAATTATATTGTTTAGGCTTGAATAGATTTTACAATATTCTCTGGGCCAAACTTGCTTATCACAATCACCTGCGAACAGGTTTTAAAAATAATAGCGAGTTCGATTGCACATGTGGAGGTGCAGATCTAGTGACGTACTGTTTAATGAGGAACACCTCCTTATGTCGTCTGTGCCACGCGTGTGTGTGTGTGCCATGTATGCACGTGAGCGTTGTGCTTGTATGCACACCTGTGTGTATCTCTGCCTGTGTGTGAGTGAGAACGTGATCGTGCACACACACCCCTGAGAGGCATGGATCTGTGGCCTTGTTGTTCAGCTGGGAATGTGTTGTGTGCACGTGTGTCTGCGTATGCATGTTGCATGCAAGTGTGAGATGTCTGTGACCGCACACATGCCAGGCTCATTATTCCTAGCTTCTTGTACAGCAGTTATCTTCGTTTGGTACCAAAGTGGAAGCTGTGCTAAGGGTTTTTCTTGGTGTGAGCTAGGATCAAAGGGCTGTGGTGTTTTACAGCTTGTGACCTGAGGGCCCTTGGAAGACAGGAACTTTAGAGGAATTGTAGTCCGTAAGCTTCCTGGTCCTTCTCTGGAGCGAGTCAATAGCAATCTGTGCTTCAATCCCAGCCTCTGTGGCTTGTGCTTGGCTCTCAGGAGGCTGGACCAAGGACAGTGTTTGCACTCATGGTCTCAACATGTCCGGTATTGGCTTAGAGAGGCCTCTTGTGCAACTGCACTCTAGCCTGAGTGACAGAGCGAGACCCCATCTCAAAAAGAAAATGTATTGTTTTCTTTACTGTAAAATAGCAATTTGTAATGATTTTTGAGAAGTGGGACCCATGGTGGTGTCGATGTCTGAGCCAGGTGAGGGTGAGACCCCTGGCGCCATGCGCTGGCCCCCAGGATCCCTGGGAAACGCGTTCTGTTCACAGCTGTGTGATTCTTTTCTCTCTGTGTTGGTGAAGCAGCCAGACCCGGTCCGTTTGGAATGCCTGGGATGGTGCCGCCGCACGTTCCTCCTCAGATGCTCAACATTCCGCAGAGCTCTCTGCAAGCCAAGCCCGTGGTAAGGCGTTCCCTGCGTCGGGTGGGGTGGCGGGCCTCAGACACGGTGCGTGCATTAGATTTTGACAAATGCTAAAATAAGTCCCTAACCTCTTGAATTGATATGTGAAATAGATGCCAGTGTTTGTTGACATAAAAATGAGTCAGGAAACGTCAGCCTGGGCCCGAGTCGGGTCCCGCCTGCCACGTGCGCATGTGACCTGTGCCCTTCCCTTCAGGCCCCACAGGTGCCCAGCCCAGGGGGTGCCCCGGGCCAGGGTCCATACCCGTACAGCCTCTCTGAGCCAGCAGCTCTCACCTTGGACACGAGCGGGAAGAATCTGACGGAGCAGAACAGCTACAGCAACATTCCTCACGAAGGGAAACACACGCCCTTGTATGAGCGGTCCTCGCCCATCAACCCGGCCCAGAGCGGCAGCCCCAACCACGTGGATTCCGCCTACTTCCCTGGCTCTTCTACATCGTCATCTTCCGACAACGACGAGAGCAGCGGAGGGACGACAAAGTGAGTGGTGGCAGGTGGCTGGGTCCCTCCTGGCGGGTAGCGACCCGGGGAAGCTGCCTTGTGGCCTGCCGGCCCCGCAGGTGTTTCGCTCAAGGATGTAGTTTGCCGCAGGTAGGTGATGGTCAAGCTGTTGTCAGACGGGGGCTCCTTGGACAGAGAAGAAAGAGGAAGAGTAGGTGTGTTCTTTGACGTTTCCACGATTTAAAATCTGCGCCATCCCAGCCCCATGGCCTGGAGCTGCAGGAAACTTTTCTGGGGAGGAGTTTGACAAAAACTGGTTTGTGTGATGACCAAGACATGGGGGCGTTTGTCCCGTGTGGTGCCACTCACACACACCACAGCAATCCCCTGCCGCCCCCCAAAAGCATTAATCTCCTGGCTCCTGGGTCAAGGGAACTCCCAATTTCCTCTCCTTCTCCTAAACTCTGCAGCTCACAGGATGCTTTTGAAATAACACTGTTTGCCCAAGCAAAACCGTGGAAAGCTGCCTAGACCCAGGCTGGAACTGTTTCCTTAGAGGAATATTTTAAATACTGTGTGTCCCTGTGTAAATGAGTTCACAAATACATGGTTGGTTAAAATATGATCGAGGAAATCTTAAATTTGCACTCCTCACTTCATTTAAACTTCTTTTTTTTTTTTTTTTGAGACGGAGTTTCGCTCTTGTTACCCAGGCTGGAGTGCAATGGTGCGATCTCGGCTCACCACAACCTCCGCCTCCTGGGCTCAGGCAATTCTCCTGCCTCAGCCTCCTGAGTAGCTGGGATTACAGGCACGCGCCACCATGCCCAGCTAATTTTTTTTTTTTTTTTTGTATTTTTAGTTGAGACGGGGTTTCACCATGTTGACCAGGATGGTCTCGATCTCTTGACCTCGTGATCCACCCGCCTCGGCCTCCCAAAGTGCTGGGATTACAGGCTTGAGCCACCGCGCCCGGCCCTTCATTTAAACTTCTTATGTTTAATTTAAAAAAAGAAAAAAAAAAAACCAGAAAGAGAAAGAAAGTGTCTTTCTCTTAAGTCAGTGTCTCCTTTTCCTTAGTGTGAACTCTGCTCACAGGGTGGGTAACCAGGGCTGGCTGATGTTGCATCTGCTCTGATGTAAGAAGTCTAATAGATGTAGCTGTCAGTTTCTGTGTGAGTTCTTACCTGGTGCGTCACCTGAAGCAGGTGATCTTTCCTCTCTGTCCCCCGTCCATCTGTAAAATGGGAATGGATGTCTGTTGACCCAGGGCAGAGGTTACTGAAGGGCTCACTGCCACCCAAGGATGCACACCCTGTTTATGGCGGAGACATATAACATTAATAAATGTTTATTCACTGTGTATGCAGAGAAGTATAAAATTAATAAATGTTTATTTGCTGTGTGTGCAATGCTAAGACTAAAATGAAGTAAAGATTTGCAATTGAATATTCAAAGTTTTACACTGATCTCTAGCAAGATAATATATTGAGTACCCATTGAATCAGAATCTCTGGGTTGGGGCCCCCAAATTTGCATTTTAAATAAGCATCTCAGTCAGTCTTTAGCACACTGCAGTTTGAGAACTACTAGATGGTCTTAGCAGCCCTCACACACTGGAATTCTAAGGCATGTGCATTTTGTTGTAAAATTTGACTTATGTCAGCAAGATCGAAGTGTCTGTACAATACAGTTTTCATCTTAGTAAGAAATATTCTTTCTGAACTCTGAAACATAGGTAAGAAGTAAGACAAAAAGCACAAGACGTCAGCCTTATGAGTCCAGCAGTTCAGTGCTAGTGATGGAGATGTGGAAACCAGGTCGAGGTGCTGACCTGGGGACGTGGGTGGTGACCGGGACACGTCTCAGTTGAGGTGCTTGTTCCTCCGGCAGGGAGGGATTGAGAAGAATGCGAGTTGCCCATCTAATTTGGCAAGTTGTCTTTGTTAGGATGAGCTGAACTTGGAGCAAGTAGGACTGCCTGAGCGTGTCCTGTCTTTTCTGTGTATGAATCTCCTACCTGTCTCTAAAGGTTCTGGTCAGGTTTTGGAGCTCTGGGCATCTGGCCTCCCTCTGACCTCTTGCAGTATCGTCTTCATCCTCGATACAGCATCTTTACTGTTTTCTGGAGGTGCGTCTTGTTTCTGCCACTGGAATTTGACCTGCTCAGGGTCTTGTATTTTGCTGGCCTTGTGGTATGAAGTGTCATGAAGAATGCAGGGTACAGCCTATCATCAAAAGATTGGATTCAAGCTGTGTGACTTAGCAGAAACTTCATTTCCTTGAATCTGCTTCCACTTTTATTATAATATATGTGCAGTGCATCTATAAAATGGGAACGAATGGCTTTCAACCCAGGGCAGAGGTTACCGAAGGGCTCACTGCCACCCAGCGATGCATACCCTGTTTATGGCATGGTAGACTTGAGATGAACGAAGGCAGAGGAGACAAGGGTGCTTGTTCCTGAAAGCTTTGGGGTCAGAAACTAGCATTCGACTTGGGGTCAAACCCTTGATTCCAGGAATCTTGCAGGTGCAGGGGAGTGACTTGGATTTTGTGTCCACTGTGCCAAGTAGGGACAGTGTTCATGATTTTCAGCAAGGGTTCTAGTGTGTTGAATTGCTTTTATGTGTAGTGTATAATGGTGCTGCTTAAGCTATGCATAGGAGAACAATGAATTGATATAGTTTGCCAAGGAAGTCCGTACTATTTTACCTTTCGTTTTGAGTTTTATTAGGACCCTGGGACCTATGTTGCTCCTAAGGGAACAGAAATTACTCACTCTCTTAGCCAAGAAATGCCTGGACATTCATTTATTAGTGAACAGGGCAGAGGACAGGAGTGATGACGTCTGTGCCCAGAGCTTGCATTCTGGAGGACAGTATATAAGCATTGAACGAGGAAACCCTGGTGAGTTCGTGAAGAAGACATGCTGAGAGTGAGGAGTGGGGAACTGGGAGCACCAGAGCAGAGGAGTGCTGGAAGACTGGGAGAAAGGAGCAAGCCAGCTGATAGGCTGGGGTGTGAGGACCAGCAGGGCTGGGCCACGCAGAGCTGGATGTATTCCAAGTGCCAGGGGAAACATCTAGAACAAACTTCTTCATCCCGTGGTGTACGGGCCTCATGCAGCTCAGGATAGTGGCCCAACAAAAATTTGTAAACTTTCTTAAAACATTATGAGATTTTTTTTTTTCCAAATTTTTTTAAAGCTAATTAGCTATTGTTAGTGTATTTTGTGTGTGGCCCAAGCCAATTATTCTTCTTCCACTGTGGCCCAAGGATGCCAAAAGATTGGACACCCTTGATCCAGAGGATACTTAGAATGATCCTGGGCTGGAGAGATCCTGGTGTTTCTTTGATGGTGAGGTTACTCCCACCTTGATGCTATTTGCCCTTGGGATGGTCAGTCTCCAGACAGTCAGACCATTCAGCTGGTGGAAACAGTTGAACTCCAGAACTCTGGTCTTAAAATATATTGATGGTATAAAGGATACATATATATATATATGTATTATTTTTTATTTTTTTGAGACAGAATTTTGCTCTCGTTGCACAGGCTGGAGTGCAATGACGTGATCTAGGCTCACTGCAACCTCTGCCTCTTGGGTTCAAACAGTTCTCCTGCCTCAGCCTCCCGAGTAGCTGGGATTATAGTTGCTCACCACCGTGCCTGGCTAATTTTTTATATTTTTAGTAGAGATTGGGTTTCACCATGTTGGCCAGGCTGTTCTTGAACTCCTGACCTCAGGTGATCTACCTGCCTCAGGCTCCCAAAAGTGCTGGGATTACAAGTGTGAGTGACCATGCCTGGCCAGAAATCTTTATAATTTCTAGACCATAAAATAGTGGAGGTGATTGGCCTTGTAGATGCGTAGCAAGACGTGCCCCCACCTGCTACGCGCTCCCTCTTATTGTCCAGCCCTAACTCCTCCTGTCTTCCCTGGTGCACATTTAGTGACACCACAAGTTAGGAATAATGTGGGACACCCTGCAAAATAAACGGCCTAGGGTCCCCAACAATCAATCAGTGGCACTCTTTTAAAGGGTGGTAGTGAGGGGTAATGGGGATTGTTACAGAACAAAAGAGACAACAAAAATAGAAAAAAGCTTCCTATTAATTAAAAAGGTAAGTGATTTTCTAAAATTTTTATTTTTTTTTTTTAGGGACAGGGTCTTACTGTTTCAGCCAGGCTGGAGTGCAGTGGCACCATCATAGCTCACTGCAGCCACAATCTTTTGGGCTCAAATGATCCTCACACATCAGTCTCCTGAGAGTCTGAGACTAAAGGCATGTTCCACCGTGCCCAGCTAACCTGTATTATTTGTAGTTATGGGGTCTAGCTGTATTGCCCAGGCTGGTTTCAAACTTCTGGCCTCAAGCAATCCTCCTACCTCTGCCTTGCAAAGTGGTGGGATTACAGGCATGAGCCACTGTGTGCAGCTGATGACAGCTGTTATAAATGGAAATAGATACAAATGTGCTGGGTGTGGTACTGTAGCCCCTGCTACTCGGGAGGTTGAGGTGGGAGGATCATTTGAGCCCAGGAGGTGAAGGCTGCAATGAGCTATCTATGTTCATACCTGTGAATGGCCAGTGCACTTCGCCTGGGCAATGTGGTGAGATCTCATCTCTTAAAATAAGATATAAGCATGCAATTCACAAAGGAAGCAGCCATCAATAAACATAAAAAGTTGTTCACCGTCACTAACAAAGTCAAAGTTACACAACTTAGAACTAAGATGCCTTTTACAAAAGCCTATAAAATTGTCTAACATTTATCTTTAAAGATAAATTGTGGTGGGAGGTTATGGGTGGAATTATTCTGACTGCCACTTCTGAGCATCAGTGGTTGTTGGTATGACTTGTGGATGTCTGAGAGCTGCATGTGTACTGGTGCTCTTTGTGATTTACTCTGTGCCTGTAGGAAGATGGGTGTGGAGTGTGCTTTGTAGCAACATTGAAGGAACAGATGTGTGTGCCCCCATGCTTTCGTCAGGGTTCATCAAACAGGAACCTCACACTACAAAGAACGTGCTCT